TCATCTTATTTTTTGATTACTGTATTGAATATTTTCGATTATTATTTTAAGGTTACATGAAAAATATTTATATTTAATCATTTTTTGTGCATGTCTGCATCAAACCTTATTTATAATCCTTTATCAATTGCTTATGTGAATTGCAACTTTGATGTAAAGTAATAATTATAACTTACTACTATCAAAAATAGGAGGAGGTAGCATGTATTTAACGAGTTCAGCTCTCAAAATGCTGGCTATACAGTATTTTTTATCATTTTTACCAAATAAGAACGTGCATACGAAGTATAAATTTTTAAATTTATGTAATGTGAAACGTTAAATGCTTCTGATTTAATTTATTTTAATGCAAATATTTCTAAATTAAAATGAAAATGGTGTCATATTTCGGGTACAGTTTACTATTCAAATATTTTAGTTTCAGTATTTTGCTTCAAATGTTTATTTATGAACTTATTGCAGCCTACAAGTTTATATGCTCTTTATCAAACATTTGTGATTTTCAGAAAATAAAAATTTTTTAAATAAAAAAAAGTGAAAAATACAAAATTTTTAATCATTTTTCATTGTCAGATAACGTAAGAATACGTAAAAATTATAAACTTCCGTTGGAACATTCTTACGTTGTTATTTTGAGTGCTTTTTTAAATTAAAAAAGTAATTATTTTATTGACTGCAGTTGAATTTGAATGAGTTTATGAGATGAAAATTTTAAATGCTTGATATTTCGAAGAAGTAATCATGATTGTTTGCATTTTATATTATGAATATTAGAGATGTATATGATTATTTTGACTCACTGAGATAAGTTAAGTTAATTGCATTTGCCTTGAAAGGCTTCTAGAAATTTTTTTTCAAAGATTAAAATGGATGTATTATGCTACTGCAATGAAATGAAATGAAATTAAACTTATTTACTGGAATTAAAATTTGACTTGTGAAACTAACTCATTCCATACTATTAGCTCAACCCACAATAGTAGCTCAGCTTAATACCTGCGCAGTTATTTTTATAGTGTGATTGGTCTTAACATTAGTTCATCTTGCATAATTAAGGCAGCAAATAAATATTCATGATCAAGTGACGCAAGTGTTTTAACTTTCTGATCTATACTCGTCATGGATTATTGATAAAAACTTGTGAAAATGATTAATCCTATTGCATGTACTGCTTGAAATGATGTTTAACATTTGAATATATGTATTATTGATGAACAAATCTTAACAAAATATAACATCGAAAATTTGTCATGTCTTCAAAGTAGTTCAAAGTTCAACTGAGATGAAACAGATCAAAAGGTCAAGTTATTATTGTCAAATTACTTCAACCAGAAAGTAAAAGTTTTTTAGATAAAATTCTATTCAATTTATAAAAATTACAATAAAAATTTATTGCTTGATTCTAACCTTTTTCGGTATATTTCAGCATCGTTCATGATCAGTGCTTCAGAATATCCTACCCTTAAAAGTTCTTTACTAAGATACTTTTATGTATAATTTTATTGATA